AGTTCTTTTCTGTGCTGTTTGATTTTTTTTTCACCGAGAGACCTTGCCTGTGCCTACATCTTAAGGTTCTTTATTGGTGTTTCCTCTAGCAGTCTCAAGGATTCAGATATTTAAGTTGATGATTAATTTTGAATTTATGTTTGTATAGTGTAAGAGATATGGACTGAGCCTCATTCCCATATAGGAATGGATAATAAGGTAGATATTCAGATTTTCTAGCACCATTTATTGAAGAGTGCCATTTTCCAAAATATATTTTTAATATCTTTGCCAAAAATTAGATGGCTACACCCAGCTCAGCAGAATTCCTGTGCTATTTTGGCCTTTTTGCATATTTGTCTATTTTTATGGCATTTTGATGCTGTTTTAGCTCTTGTTGCACTGTAGTATATAGGTGTGTTGACATAGAACATTGTGATAACTCCACTATTATTTGTCTGTTAAGCATGGTTCTGGATAGTCAGGGATTTTGTACTTCCATAGGAATTTTGGAATTAATTTTTCTAGTTCTGTGAAGAATTTTATTGGGACTTTGCTGGATGGCAGTCTTCACTGTGTCTTCTTCCTTTCCTTGAACATGGGAGCCTGGAAAGTGGCTTCTTCAGTTTCTTCCATAGCTGTCTTCACATTTTTAACACAGAGCTCCTCACTTCTTTCGTTAGGTGTATTCCCAATATTTTGCTTTTCCTTTAAGCTATTGTGAATGTTACGTTTTCCTTGTTTCATTCTTGGGAATGTTGTTATTGGCGTATAGAAAGGTTGCTGAGTAGTCTGTGTTCAGAGACTAACATGAGACTTTTCTGACAGTGTTTACAATATCTGAGTGTTTTCTGTTAAAGTCACTAGTCTTTTAACTACAAGATCATGTCATCTGCAAATAGGGATACCTCGATTTCTTCCTTTCCTATTTGTATTCCATTTCATTTCTTTCTCTTACATTTTTGGCCAAGTTAAGACTTAAGAGTACTATATTGAACAAGAATAATGAGAATGGACACTCTTGTCTCATTTCTGATATTGAAAAAAATGTTTTCTGTTTTTCTCCATTTAGTATTACATTGTCTGTAAAATTATTGTACATAATCTTTAGTATATGTTAATCTACTTTTTAAAATTCCTGTTTTAAGAGCTTTTATCAGGAGGGAAGATGAACTTGGTCAAAGGCCTTTCTACATCTGTTGAGGCAATGATGTAGTTTTTGTCTTTTCAGTCTCTCTGTGTTGCATTAGATTATTGAACCAATCTTGTATTCCTCACCTGGGGGAAGACCGACTTGATCATAATACATTTGTGATTTTACTTTTATTACATGTATATGAATGTGGCTTGCACATGTTACACATACATTCATGCAAGCCTGCAGAGACCAGGAGAGGGCCTCCTCTTCCTTGGAAGTGGTGTTAGGGATGCTTGGGAGCCAACATGCAGGTGCTGGGAAACTGGGTCCTCTGTTAGAGCAGAAAGTGCCTTAGCAGCCACCGAGACTCTCTCCAGCCTCATATGTGTGATTTTTAATATATTCACAAGAGTATGATTGTAAGAATTTTGTTAATGTTCACCAGAGAAATTGGGCTGCAGACTTCTGTGTCTGTCTTTCTGTCTGTCTGTCTGTCTGTCTGTTACTCTGTGTGTGTGTGTGTTGTGTGTGTGTGCACAGGCATCTGCATGTGTCTTACATTTTTATCGAGTTGGTATCAGAGCAATCATGACTTTGGAGAGTGAATTTGGCCCTTTGCTTTCTCTTTCTATATATGGAACACTTTCAGGTGTGTTTCTGGTGTCTTAAAGTAGTTGAAGAATTATGGTGTGTTGAGGGAGTCATGATGCTTTGCCTTTTCATATTTATTGTGTCTCTGTGCTGTGCTTGTGCACTTGGCTTCCAGTTGTATTTTGAAATGTTCCTAATGAGAATCATACTTTGGGGGTCTTTAAGTTTTCATTTGCATGGGTTCTCATCTTTGCATAACAGTGTCAGGGCTGCTCTCACTTAGCTGTGCAGTCTGTTCTGTGCAGACTCTCTCTCTCACCCTTCTGGACAGTCCAGTTCATACTGTTCCCTAGGATAGTTAATGTTTTCTCTTGGTGTCTCCTAAATCCACAGGGAGTGTGAGAAGCTACACACTGAGATCTGTACAGTAGGAAGACCTCCTAACTATTTTGTCCATTCCCCACCTCCTGGGATGTAGCTGTAGTGTTAGTGGACCATCAGAGAGATTTAGGATTTAGGTTCTACAGCAATGACTAACAGGTATGACTAATTGGCCCCAGTGGTAGGTTGTTTTCATTGAGCTTCTTAGCAAAAGTGACCCACATTCAGGTTATTTGTAGTTAATAGACCTGCTCTAGAAAACCAAGAGCGGCAGCTACCTCTCCTCAGTATTCTACTTCCTGAGCCCAGCTTCCTGCTTCGTACTGTTTTTGGCTTTGAGGCTTCAAGTCCTCCAGCTGTCTATGACTGCATCCAAAAGCCATACTTATCCTGGGATGATTGCAGATTAAATTCCAAATCCCTCATTCTCAGCCTCTAAGGATAGTTTCAAATAGTGGCTTCTTTCTCAAGATAGTGCCTGGCCCAGCACCTTCCTTCTGAATCACACAGAGTGCAAGAGTATGATTCTGTACCACTGTGGAAACATCTGCCCAAGGAATCACTTTTTCATCAAAACCATCTTGATTTTAGGCCTGCACATGCTTTACAGGCCTATCCTGAATGTAGGAATCTAAGTCACTTTTCACCAGGGCCTCGAGCCTTATGCTTTGGAGAAGCTTTTTGCCTTTCCTCCCTCCATCCCCACCAGGAGAAGCTTTCTGCCTTTCCTCCCTCCATCCCACTAGGCATCCCTAGAAGTGCAGGGTGTTAGGCTTGGCATCTTCCATGAGCCACTGTGTTTTTACATTTAGATATCCTATGCATAGTCTTGTAGGTCCCCTGCTTTCTTTCTCTCTCTCTTTCTTTGGAATAGAGCCAGTGTTTTTTCCTATTCTGGTTCTTCTTTACTAGTTCATGCAGAAGCAACTCTTAGTTGACCTTCTTACCTGAAAGATCTCCATTTTAACATCTTGAGCTTCTCATTGGTATCACTTCTTATACAGAAGACTTTTTAAAAATGAACTATTATGCTTTAATGGTAATAACTGTTTAAAGTATTACATGTAAACTACATTCAAACATTAAAGCATTCAGTGTCTAGTTATTGCCATCTTAATATAGAATATGGTAAATTCTAGATGAGGAAAACAAATTTACAAGTCATTTTTATTTCTAAATCTATATTAACTCTCTTGTCAATTTTGTCTACCCGCCCTTACTCTGACTAATTTCTTCATTTGGAAGTGATTTTGGTAAACTTTGTTTCAAATTATATCATCCCACATTTGTAAAATCCATAATATATAGAAGGGTTAGGTGTTTTTTCTTAAAAGCTGTCTTGACTTATCTATGTCCCAATGTAATTATTGGTTTGATGACTAAAGAAACCTTTTTAATGTTATTTCTAGTTTACTTTTCAACCTAAATAGTTATTGGTTACATTTTATGTACAAAACAATGTGTTCATTATCTTCTCATGGATGAAGCAAGTTCCATTCTCAACATAAGGTTCAAGTTCTGGAGAAGGGAGGCAATGTTCAGCAAATTCAACTGAATTATGTCATACACTGGTGCCAACTTTATGACTCCCTATTTTTTTTAAAAAAAAAAAAACAACTTTTCCCTTATTAGCCTAAACTATATCAATAAGCTGTTTTTTGTTAGTTGGAATTTTTTTAGTTTAGTCTTAACCCACAAAGGTTTTCTTTAGTGTCTGTTACTCAAATTCTGTGAAAATATTTAAAAGTGTTATTGACTAGAAATTCTACCCCTCCAGGATGGGTGTATTGGATTTTACCATTGGTTCCCAGTGTTGTTATCCAGGAGTTTTGGTAGATTTTTTCAAATATAAAATCTTATGAGATTTGTAGCCACCAAAGACTCAATCCAATTGTTATGTGAAAAGTTGTATTCATTTAAAAAAAAGTTTTCAAAAGTTCAAATGATGTCTCCTATTCAGATGCACATTCAGCACAAATGAGTTTGTGATTTAACAGGTGGTTTTAGATGCTGAGTGTCTGCATTTCCTCTGTAACCAAAAAGCACAGGAAAGGTTTGCAATTTTTTGCTGCCGGACTTCCGTCCTGTCTGGTTACAAGCAGGGGATGTGACTACCACTGCATTTCATCTGTCTTCAAGTTCATCAGGAGCAGAACGTTGATCACAGGCCATCTGGACTTCATCTGACTTTGATAACACAGTGCAGAGGAGTTCTAAAAATAGAGACAGAACTCTGGTGACCATCAGGCGCAGCTTACTGCATTGTTTCTCACTTGTAGCCATGCATCTTGTGAGGTGGTTTCTGTGTCTCAGAGCGCATGTGTTAAGTGGAGCACTTCTGATTTAGTGCTTCGTGCATGCTTGAACACAGACTATGTTTGCGAATAATTGTTTGGCTTTCACAGGGAATCTGTGTTCTGCAGGGAGGTTTGATACATGAGAGGAAGTTGTGTCCTCTGGGAACTAAGCCTGGGAAATGCACTAGGAAGCTGTTATGGGTTGGTAATCTTTGAACTTCAAAACAGAAGACATAACAAACAGGCAGTTTGATTTGCTGTCTTGTTTAGGCTGGACTGGGAAGGATAGCATTGGTTTTCATATGAGGAAATGATATGGTATTTAGTTATCTGTTCATACCCAAGGCTATAGGACTCTGAGGCAGTGCTCAGCTTTCCCGTGTTTGTCTGGATTTACTCTGATAAAATAGGGGTTTTACCATGTACAATGTTAGATTATACCCCAAGACAACACAAGAGCTGACACAGAGTTTTGTAGCTCTTTGTGTACTGGTGGATTGACTTTTCTCTGACCTCGACTTTGTTAATAACCATGGGTTTCACATGCTACAACTAGTCTTATAGCTTATTCTTATTTTTATTCTTATTTTATTCTTTTTTAAAATCTTTTTCAGATATTAGCTCAGTCATGTACTGAAATCCTGGAGTTGAGTCCTTCAAGTGTCTGTGTAGGGGGTAAGTGTTTAGAATTTAAAAATACCATGTAAGAAACTATTTTTCTTTTCCTCCTAGCTAAAAGATGTGATTTGAAACTCATGTTGGAAGGAGAATAACAAAATTAACTTTTTTGGCATCTTTTTTGTATGTGTGTAAGAATTTTTAAATAATTCCTTGAAATATTTCTATTTTAAATTCAATTTTTAAGATTCAAATGTTACTTTAAATAATGAGCATATTGTGCGATGGCTTTTAGAATGTTCTGTATATTCAGTTCATGTTTGAGACCTTTTCTATGGCAAATAGAATAAAATATAGAATCCCTTATCTGATTGGGTGGTATTGGAAACTGCAGAGCTCTGTGCTCTAACGACCCGACCGTGTTATCTCATCTGCCAGCTCCAGGCACATACGGAAGTGACTAGGGGCAGAGTGCAAGAAGGAAACAGGTGGCTTCATCAGCTGCTTCTCCAAAGGCTCAGGTTCCCGCCTCCCAGACATCCTTGCCCAGAGAATCTGCCTCTCCCCAGCCGATTTTTTTCTTCAAGTTGACCTAGAGTTCATTTTAGCATAACTTTATTTAGGAAAGGAAAAAAATAAGGTACCATCCTGATCAAGGAGAAGGGGAATATATCGTGTAATGTGTAATTTATCACAGAACATCATGGTTACCAGACATGCTCTTCTGCATTGCATCCCCTACCTCCCTAATACATGATCACTGAGACACGGAGGGGAGCGGGAAGCATGCACAGGCACATTCCAGAGCAGCAGGGTCTTTCTAAAGATGGAGATCATTAGTTTTCCAGGAAAAACATAGACAAGTAGGTAGAAACTACATTAAAATAGTAGCTTTTCTTTATTCCATTCCTTCTTGAGTAGTTTGCCTAGTTTGTAAACTTCAACAAAATCTGAGCTATATCTTTAATACACGTTGAAAAATAAGAACAAACCCAAAATCCCAAGAACTTCAATTCAACCAATATATTTAGAATATTAAAATAGGAACCTTCCCACAAGAGAGACCTATGATGTGAATGTATGTGTGTGTGTGTGTGTGTGTGTGTGTGTCTGTATACATATGTGTATACTTGTATTATTTCTGTTCTTTTTTAAAAAAGATGTATTTATTTAATGTATATGAGTTCATTGTAGCTTTCTTCAGACACACCAGAAGAGGACATCAGATCCCATTACAGATGGTTGTGAGATACCATGTGGTTGCTGGGAATTGAACTCAGGACCTCTGGAAGATCAGTCAGTGCTCTTAACCACTGAGCTATCTCTCCAGCCCTTCTATGTTTTTTTTTCTAGAAGAGCTTTGCTGTTTTGTTTTTGTCTGTTTGTTTGCTTTTGTTTTGCCTTAGAGCTGCCCAATTCCTAAACTGTAGTTTGCTCAGATCAGCTCTTCAACATTTTCTTGCTTCAGTTCGTCTTTGGTACAAGAGGTCATCACCAGTGGGATAGCTAACATGTTCTATTGTGGTCAAGCAGCAAGTATTCTCTACCTATTGAGAAATTGGGTCATCAACTTTTCTTCTATCATATTCTTTCATATTCATTCCTTCTCTAAAATTCAGTGCCTGTAGATATTGTAGATAAGGAGACAGTAAAGCAGCTTCCTCTAGTCCCTCCCCGTCATGGCTGTCAGTAAACAGCAGAACAATCATTGTATTGTAAGCTTATAGGCAACAGAAGACAAAACAGGTTGACACGTTGTTTCTTTGGTTTTTTATTAACTTCCTGAATTTAATGACTGAGAGTACAAAGAAAAAGAGCACATTGTTTCTCAAAAAACCTGTAAGAATAGAATTGGGGGAGTTGATATAAGTCAGGTAATTATTGCTATATTTTAATTCTAATACCTGAGTTACTATTAGAAAACACTCTGATAAACACCAAAGTAGCAGCCCCGTGTGACAATGAATGCTGTTTCTACTATCCTCACCTAGAGAGTCTAAAGGAATCACGTTTGGTTGGAGTTGCATATTCATAGTTATTGGTGGAGAGGATCAAATGTGGAAATGTGTGCTAAACCTCTCCATACTGTGGCTCTTCCTAATAAAACACTGGTTACTGTGCTCATACTTTTCTTTCTTTCTTTTTTCTTTTTTTTAACCTCTAGAGAAATTTCAAGTTGTTCTGAGTGGAAGAGCAGTGACATCGATCAGTCATGATGGCAGTGTCCTCTGTACATTTACTGCGAACAGCACATACACAAGGAGTAAGACCCCAGGAATGCCAGCATCACCTATATGTCTTTATCACACAGAATCTTGAGTATTTTTCTTCTTTCAAAAGTATTTATTTTTATGTTATGTGAATGACTGTGTTGCCTACACACGTTTGTGCCTAGTGAGTGCCTTGTGCCTGCAGAGGCCAAAAGAAGACATCAGATCCTTTCGAACTGGAGTTGTATATGATTGTAAACTGTTATGTGGATGCTGGGACCCAAACCCACCTCCACTGGGAAGAACAGCAAGTGTTTTTAACATCTGAGCCATCTCTGTAACCTAAAATATTCTTTCTTTTTCTTTTCATCCATCCTTCCTTCCTTCTTCTCCCTTCTTCCCTCCCTCCCTCCCTCTCTCCCTCCTTCCCTCCCTCCTTCCCTCCCTCCCTCCCTCCTTCCCTCCCTCCCTCCCTCC